TTGAAATACGATTATAAATTTCATTTAATTTGTAAAAATTAAATAATTCAATTTGTTTTATGTAATTATAATTGATTTTTTATAAGTTTATTTTTATTTGTGTCTCTAATAGTGTATAAGTATTGTATTGTATCTCAAACTCTACCCAAAAAATTAAGAAATGCATTTTGTTTCAGTGATTTTGGTATACCTTATATAAAAACATTTAGTTTAAAATATATTTTATAAAGTCATTTGTGTTTACATATTTTTTCACTACAATTCATTTATAATAATATTATTTGAAAATACATTCAATAATTTATGACATAAAATATTTAATTTACACACATTTTGAATGAATAGAATCGTAAGAATCGTGATTTTATGATGACTTTCAATGATCACAGATTCCGCCACAGAATCGAGAATTTAAGTCAAATATACAAAAGTATATAACATTCAAAAAATTTGAGAATATTTTATATTTCAATATTTAGGAACAAATACTTATTTAATCAATCATACTAATATAATTAAATTATTAACATTATATAAAACTTTTTTTATTAAGTTCACAGCTATTAATTACATTTATAGATATATTTAATAGTTTAGGATATTATTTGAAACTTAATTATTGTAATAAACTAAACTATTAGGTTTCCATTAAATTTGTACAATTTTTGAATAAATTCATTGAATAAAGTTTGGACATTTGATTTGTGACACAATTATAGGAATAAACCCCATTATTCCTTATGCCATCAAATTATAGATTTTAATTTTATTTAAAAAAAGTTTTAAATGTTTTCGTAGTCTTTGTATCATTTAAAGTGGTGTCACAGCTTATGTGATACCAGTTGACAAGAATTGATAGAAAAATAAGTTTTCATCGGATTTCAGTCCATTTAATATTTCGCCAAATTCTGTACTTTTGATGAGAAGATTCCTATCGATAGACCACTCGTTATATTTGTGTAACACTTCACTGCATTCCGGCCTATGATTCCAATTCAGTAAAACCATTGTTGATAATTGTTTGTATAATTTTGACACTGGTGAATTTAGAATTTTATTTGGTGAGTATATGAAGGAGCTAAATTAAAATAAAATTATATTTAAAAATTTGATTTGATAATAATACACATAGTTGTGCATTACCTCAACTTATTTGTTTCAATGAGTATGACTTTCACATCAAATATTTTACCACCAATTAGTGCGAGACTATACATATCAGATTTATGACCATATTTTTCACCTTGACCAATTTCAGGTGCCATATATCTCATGTCCCCGATATCTCCCGTATGTTTACGTGTAGTCCTGTAGTGAATGCGTTTGTCGTGAACTGTAGCCAAACCAAAGTCACATAACTTCAAAAACCTGCCGTTCCTTACGTTGTGTGCAATTAAAATGTTTTCTGGTTTGAGGTCTCTATGAATGACCGGAGGATTCAATTCATGTAAATATTGAACGCATTCTAAGATCTGACGGAATATTTCACACGAAATGAAATACTCGTATAAATCCATGGGATCTCCCGATTGTCTCTCAAATACTTGTAGTTTTATTTCAAGAATATTCTGCAGACTATTGGAACACAACTCCATTTGTATGTAAAGACATCCGGTTTCACGCCATGAGTGGTAATATAGGACCACATATTCAGACTTAACTTTTTCCAAATACTTTACTTCTTTTAATACCTTTTCGGTTTCTTTATCATCTGTGTAAAAATATAGTTTAGATTTCTAATATTTAGTTATAAAATATATTACCTTTAAATTCAATGCATTTGACGGCAAATAACTGTCCATCAGATTTATGTTTCACTTGCATTACGGTCCCAAAACTACCCTTTCCTATAACCGATATCTCATCAAATGTTTTACCATAATATCCATTGAAACTACTTTTATAATCAATTTCAATGCTAAATGGTTTGAATGAATTTAAGTGAATATTCTCTAAATTTGCTTCAATTCCTTCATATTTTGCATTAAAAAATTCCGCAAAAAACTTGTAATCATTTTGTTGAATGAGTTTTAGTGTGGAATCAAATGTGGGATCATTTTCGAGATAATTCCTATCAATAGACCACTCATTATATTTGGCTAAGACTTGTGAGCACTCGGATCTGTCTGTACAGTGAGGGCCGGGTTTGTGTGGGTGATCCCAGTTATAGTATGACATTGAATACAATACATCTTTTAATTCAATCAGACATTTATTAATAACTTCATTATTTGAATACTTTTGTAAACTACAGAATTTACAGAATCTACAGAATTTATTCAAATAAATAAAAACTCAATTAATTATTAAATAATTTAAATATTAATTTACATTATCTTACGGTTTGTCCTCTAAATGAATCCCAAAAATATCTTTTTCTGCAATTTTAGCCAAACTGTAGACATCTATCTTATGGTTATAGACCACTCCTTGACCCACTTCTGGTGCCTGATATCTCAAGTCTCCCATATCTGACGAGTGTTGGTGAACAGTAGCTAAACAAAAGTCACATACTTTGAAAAACCTGCCGTTCCTTACAGTCTTCGCCAGTAATATATTGTTAGGTTTGAGGTCTCTATGAATGACCGGAGGATTCAATTCATGTAAATATTGAACGCATTCTAAGACCTCTTTGAATATATGACACGAAATGTAAAACTCGATTGAATTCATAGGTTCTTCCGGTTGTCGACCAAACACTTGTGGTTTGTGTTGAAGAATATTCTGCAGACTATGGGAACACAACTCCATTTCAGTGTAATACACATTGTTTTCATACCATTGATTGATATATTGGACACAATATTCTGACCTAACTTTTATCAAATTTTGCATTTCTCGCATACATTCCCGTAATTGGTCAGCACCTGTAAGTGTATTAATTTTGATAATTATAAATAATTCTAAATTTAACAAAACATGACAAAATTTGATGATCTACGAATACAGTATAATACAATTTAATGTAGTTATACAAAATATATTTAAATGCCATTAAATTACCTTGGTATTTTATTTTCTTAACCGCATATTCTTGTCCATCATATTTCTCGTTAACAACAAATACTTCCCCAAAACCTCCCGAACCTAATCGATACAACTCTTCGTACAAACGGTTGTATTCATTCACTTCGGAAACAACTATAAAACATTAAATTCATTCATTCATTCATTTTTCTTAAAAAGTCATCCAAAAGTAGTACTCAGAGGGGACGGGGATGTGTATGTAGGCCTACTAAAGAGTAATTAAATTATAGGTATATTATTTATTTTTGCATAAATATAATTAAAATAATTTGTTTAATTGTTTGACAATGTCTTTAAATTCAAATTATATTGTATGCTGGAATTAGCATTCGATAAGAAAACATTGTAAAAGTTAACCTTATTAATTCTTAACTAATTCAAGTAAATTTGCAAATTTTTAGTTTAAGTTAATGTGTTAATCGTGAATGTTAATGACTGGCTGATGGTACGTACTTTATGAATGACCCCTAAAACCAACATACCATTGTTTGATAATTCATTTATTGAAGAAAATACTTTTTCCAAATAATCCAAACATTTGGCAATAAATTCTTCGCAATTCTTATAATTATATTCCTTATAATCACACAAATCAATGGTTTTATAAGTCATTAGAAATTCATTTGAGAAATTGTCGAACAAATTTGTATAATTTATTTCAATTATATTATCGTTTTGTCCATTATAAATATCATATAATTTGCCATTCATTATAGCAGTAAACAGACACAAATTATCCTTACGTGAAATAATTGTATGCATTTCTGTAAACCTTTTATCAGTATTTAATACTTTTGGTGATATTTGTAACAAACGTTCGTTGTCTTCATTCCTATATTCTCCGCAAAAATGAATGAATCCATCGTTTGATAAGAAGTAAGGGAAGTAACCACTGGAACAGATAGTCTTAATACCAGTCATGTCTTCAATGAGTTGTGGTTCCCATATATTATCCGATGAATTGTGTCCCAAATTATAACAATCATTTCGACCCCAACTATACACCTGTCCCTCTGATGTGATGGCAAATGAAGAGTTAGCACAACAATAAATGCTTTTAATTTCGTGATAGGGATTGAAATTTACTCGAAATGTGTCCCCTTTTCGTATATCACTGTCTGGTCCACAACCTAACTGTCCGTACATATTATAACCCCATCCATAGACACAGCGATCACTCGTGAGAATCATTGTGTGATAATAACCACAACTTATTTCATAGATTGACTTATTTTCCATGTTTTCGGGATTAATAAGTTTTGGTTTTATAAATGGGAAATCCACATTCGGGAGTTCCAAACCTAACTGTCCACCATCATTACGACCCCAACCATAGAGGCAGTTGTGTTGAGTGAGGGCTAACACAAAGTTGTATCCATTGAAGAATTGTGTGATATTCTTGTGGCGCAATCTCTCAATCTCTTGGATTTCACTGACATAGCTGTTGTGTCCCAAACCAAGAGATCCCCAATAATTAGATCCCAAACCGTAAACCAAACCACGATTTGTAACAAACAATATATTATATCCTCTCTCGTCGTCGAAAACATGAAACAATTGAATCGATTTAATGATATTTTCTTCACTTTTATGTCTATTTTCGTCGACAAGTGTTTCATTGTGTGAATCATTGGACTCGTGTTCCGTAGGCCTCACATCACTTGTATGTATGGATCGGCTATTACTGGACTCCACTC